GCAAGAGGGTGTGCTGGGCCGCGCCGGGCCGCTCCCGGGGTGGGGGGCCGGGCCACTCCCAGGGCCGCTCCCGGGGTTGGAGGGGCCCGGGATTTTCCCACAGAGGTGCGAGGCACCCGGCAGGCAGGCCCGGCAGCAGCTCAGCCTCTGATCCCTCCTGTCTGTGTGTGCAGCCCCAGGGCTTCAGAGCACCAGCCCTCCTGCTGGGCTGGGCCCCCTGCTGCCCACTGTGGGTCCACCCCTTAGAGCAGACTCTTTGGAGGGAAAGAACCAGCCATTCCTTTCCTCAGCTCCCAGAAGCAGACCCTGAGTGGGGGGCCTCACTCCCAGGAGAGAGCAGTGGGGAGTCAGGCAAGGGGGAGAAGGCCAGCCAGGTGGGGTGAAGGGCGGCCCCACAGGGCCTCCAGTACTTGGGGCCTCGCAGAGGCCCCCACCCAGGCAAGGGGAGAGGGCGTAAACTGGGGCTCAGCCCGTAGGCCTGTGGGTACCAGAGGGCAGAGGGAAGGGCCCCAAAACCCAGGAGAGGCTCACGGGGTGCCGGGTCCAGATGCAGTAGCCCTCCCCTCCCCTCAAAGCTCAAGCGCCCCTGCAGGGTGGGGGCCCTCCCCTGGTCTCCCCACCTGCTTCTCCACCTTCCCCAGCCGGCCCATCATGCTGGGGTCCTCGGGCAGCTCCGCCTCCGCCGGGCCCTTGCTCCGGTCTTTATCCGCTATGGCCGGGCCCCGCCCAACGATCTGGTCCACTCTGCCAGGAAGAGACCACACCCCCAGCATGAGTTCGGGTGGGAGCAGCCGCGGGGCCGCAGCCCTCTCCTCTCCTCCTGGGCCAGGCTGCAGCCCCCGGGGCCCAGGCTCCAGGCTGAGCCCAGAACCGACCGGGGACGGTGAGGAACCAGGACAGATGGATGCCAGGTGACTGGTCCTCATACTGCTGTCTGACGCCCTCGGGGCTCAGCCCCAGACCATTCTGTCCCAGCCCCAGACCATTCCGTCCCAGCAGGCTGGCACATTAGCAAGGAGTAAAGAGAAGGGAGCTAGGGCCACGCACCCCCAGCAACCCGGCCCCGCCCCCGCCCCACCCCCACCCCAGCTTTGCTCCTGCGTAATGTGCCACTCGGGCCGCCCAGCCCCGCTCTGGCAGGGCGGGGGTAAACGTCTGCAGCGGGAAAACAGAAGCAGAACTCGCTCCATGCGCCACGGTGGGAGGGGACACAGACCAACACAGGAAACCGCCACGCACAACCAAAGGAGGAGACGGACAGAGCCACTGCCAACCAGAGGAGGTCTGTGTGCGCTCGTGCGTGTGCACGTGTGTGCCCACTGTGCGTGCGCGTGTGCGCTGGTGCGAGGGTGTGTGTGCGAGGGTGTGCCTGCATGTGCGCGCACGTGTGGGGTGCAGAACACAGCTGGGCTGATCTCAAATAAGGCCATGATCACGAACGCCAGCGAGAGGGGAAGGACGCTTCCTTCGAGGAGGGGGCTTCTGCCAGACCCGTGCTGAACAGGCAGGGCCACCGAGGGGCTCAGAAGGGGCCTCAGAGCGGCAGTGTGGGCTCCCAACACTCCAAGCCGGAGAGGTGCGCCTACGTGGACGCTCGCTTGGTCTGCAAGCCACTGGGCCCGTCCCTGAGCCAGCTGGGCAAACGCCCCGGGTGCAGCCGCGCAGCCCCCGCCTGTCTCTGGCCTGGAGTCTCAGGCACAAAGCGCACCGCCCAAGCTCCGGAGCACAGAGGGCGCCAGCCCCCAGCAGCTCCACGCGAGCTGCCGTCCCGTCAGGCACCTTCCTCACCCACAGGGCCGTCCCTGCCGCCTCCACCAGGGGCTCAAGGGGTCTGCTCTTTCTGTCGCACGAAGCGGGAGGGGTTCAGGCTCAGGTCAGCCGCTGGGCAGCCGCCTCATGCTCCGCTGGGCGTCATGCTTGACTCATGCACGGGGCGGGAGCTGGGGGGCGGGGGGCCCTCGGGCTCCAAGCAGACGCTGGTGGGAAAGGAGCAGGGGGAGGGGATTCTCTGGAGATCCGAGTGTCCACACAGTCCAGGCACGGGCGCTCAGCGCCTTCACCCCTGCCACATGACGGGCCACCTGCCTGGCCGCTCCCCTTGAAAGCCTTGGCCAAGGGTCAGCCTGGAGCTGCCGCTGGTGGGGCACTGGGAGAGGGTCCTCTGTGGAGCCTGTGCCACCCCTTTCCCCAGCCTCACGCTTATCAGTCGGGCTTAACCAGCCCCCAGTGACCGGTCTGTCCTCCTGGTCCCCTTCCTGTGGGAATCTGTGTGTCCTCAGGCTACAGTGGTCTGGGAGGCCTGGAGGTCCGGGGCTCTGAATGCCCAGCCCCTGTGCCCTGCAGCGACGCCCAGAAAGAAGGGCTTCTGTCTCGGGGCACAGCATCCTGGGATGGGGGACACGGGCAGGAGAGGGGACACGGCAAACACTGTCTGGGCTGCCCTGGGTCAGGCCTGCTTCCCCGGAAATTCCTTTCACATGGGAGAGCTCCCAGGTTGAGATGCCCAGCTCACTGACCCTCAGCCTCACGTACAGAAACCCTGCGCACAAGGAGTATGGGTCAGATGCCCCCAGTCGCTCCGCTGGCCCGGCTGCCAGCATCCCCGCGGGCCTCCGGACGCCCCGGGCTCCCTCTGCCAGCACAGCCAGGGTGCGTCTGCCCTCACCCTCACAGGTGCGCTCCAGACCTGCCAGAGGAGGGGGAAGGGTCGCAGCCGTCACCTCTGGGGAAGCAGGAGCCTCCCAAGTCTGAGTCCATCACCACGGCACCTGCTTCTGCTGACTCTCCGCCTAACTGACCCACCTTCTCTGTGCTGGCAGCCGGGCCCTCTTCAGTAACACTGACCACGAGGACAACACTGGCAACGGAGCCGCAAAGCCCTCGGCGCTCCCGGGAGGCCGCTGGGGCTGGGCGCCTGCTCGGGGCTTTCCACTCATTCACCAAAATAGCTCAAAGGCAAGAGAAGGGCAGCTGCTCAGGGCCGCACAGCAGCCCAGGCCGGCCCGCGGGAGGCGGGGCTGGGGCTGGAGTCGGTGCTGCAGGAGGGCTGGCGTGGGGCATCCCCGCACGTCCGAATGATTCTGGTCCTCGCAGGGCTGCCCCTCCGCTTCTGCCCCGGGACCCCCGTCCAGGCGGGCATCACACAGGGTATCCGTGGAAAGGGGCCCCTGGACAGCCTCCGCAGGGCCCCACCAAAAGGGGCAGCTCAGGGGCACACTGACCCAGCCCCCGGGACCTGCCCAGGACCAGGCTTCTCCCCGAGGTCATTTTGTCAGGGACGGAAAACCCTCCCCTCCGTCCGGTCCTGTAGGAGCAGGGCTGGTGCTGCCGTCATGTGGCCTGGAGTGAAGGGGGCTGGCCTCCCACACAGACAGGCGGGAGCGGGTTGGCATCCTGACCTAGGTGAGTACTGGGGTGACTCTCTCGGAGGGGCCGTGGGTCCTTTGGTGGGGTACTTCTTGTGCCGGGGAGTTGAAGGGGGTGGGGGGCCCACAATCATATCTATCCTGGCGAGTAAACAAGAAAAGAGACACCAGGAAAATGCATCGTGAAGCAACACCAAAGGGAGGCAGCTGGAAACTTGCAGAGACAGAGGGATCGACCCGCCGAAAGCAAGAGTGACACTTCTTACAGACCCCGCGCTCCTGGGACCTCAGACTCGCCAACCTCTCCTCGTTCAAGCAAGCACCGGCCGTGGCCACGGCCCTGTGGTGGCGCCCAGCTGCCCGGGCAAGCCTGCGCGCGCCGGCCGGGGGTGGGGGGGCAGCAAAGTGCCGGGTGCGCGGGGAAGTACGCCGAGGCCCAGCCAGCGGGCACAGCCGTCTGGCTCCTGGGGGTCGGTTTGTCTCGTCTGTTTTCAGACAGAAAGGGAAGGAGAGGGAGCCTTTAGGGCAGAAGCACCTGGTGAACAAAAACGGCCGCCGTGAGAGGAGTGGACAGGCCAGCCTCTCCCTCGCACACGTGCTCACATCCACACATACGCTCACGTCTGCACGCTCCTATACAAACATGCATGCTCTCACGCGTGGCTCACACGTTCATACACGTTTGCACGCATGCACAACGCAGGTCTACTCAACACTCCGAGAGGACGCTGAGCCGTCGGCCTGATCTGGCGGACAGGAAGGGGCCCCCCGTGGCCCCACCCAGCAGGAGCAGCTGGAGGCCCAGAGAAGCCCCTCCCCTGGGACCCCGAGCAGGACAGAGCAGACGCTGCCTGCTCAGGGGCCGGGAGCTGGGCTGACCCCCCGGACTGCCCCGACCCTCCAGACCCCGACAGCCAGGGCCCAGGCTTCAGGGGCGGAGAACTGGCTGCAGCCTCTTGGAGGGTCCTGATGAGCAGGAGTGTGGAGCCCCCTCCAGGAGACCCTCCTTACAGGCCCCGCAGATGTATGTGCCGCTGCTTGTGCATGGGTGGATGGTGTGTGCCTATGAGCACCCTGGACTCAGTGTGCATGAGCATGCGTGGGACCCACGGGACGTGCATGTGGGCACGATGCTGAGAGCACGGTCACACAGGCTGGTACCCGTGTGCATGCGGGAGTGGACGTGGGTCTGCGCTCGTGTATCCAGGCCCTTGCGTGTCTATACACACGTGTGGGGCCACAGACAGCAGCCTCGGTATGTGCCCTGCCACGGCCACGCTTCTCACACGCATCCAGCCCTGCTGCCTGCTGGGGACGTGGGAGTCCCTCTGCGCAGCGGGGAGGGTGGACGGGCCTCTCTGCTCTGGAAAAAGAGGTTCTACGTAGCACAGCTGCTGCCTGGTGGGGCCCCCAAACCCTGCAGCTTCACCGTCCACAGAACTGCTCTGTTCCCCCAACACACGTGTGCACATGTGCGCACACATGTGCATGAACTCACTACACCCACGCATGGACGCACTAACACACAGACATGCACGCATCCACACTTTTGCAAAACATGTGTCGCACACGTGTGCACACATGCACGTGCATGCACTTGTACGCACATGTGCACACGTACATGCACCTGAGGCTTACCCCGTGCAAACACACATGTGCGTCCACACACGCACATGCATGTGCACACACACGTGTGCGCACACATACACACACATACTCGCCCGCCCGTCACAGCAGGGGCAGGAGAGGAGAGAAAGGAGAGACAACAGAGATTAAAACCAGACACAACACACGAGGACACAGCAGAAAGCCCACACGGGCCGACGTGGGGCCGGAGAGGAAGGGTCCCCTGTGCCCCTGCAGCCGCACCCCCACCCCACCTCCAGCGGAGAACCAGCCCACGCCGTCCGCTGTCCCGTCTCGTGCCCGGCTTTGGCGCCAGGGGATGGGCAGGCAGGGGAGGGGCTCTTGCCTGGACTGCAGGTTTTTGATGCGGGACAGCATGTCCAGGTGGCCAGCTGAGTACTGCTCGATCACGTCCATCACGTCGTAGGGACGTAGGCTCTCCTTGAACTTTCGCTTGGACACCAGGAACCGCATGACACTGGAGGGGATGGGCAGGGGGCTGTGAGCCCTGGGCAGAGATCACCAAAAGCTGTCCCCAGTGTTCACCTGCCTGTGGCCCTCCCAGCGTCTCTGAGAAAGGCCACTGATGACCTGTCCCTATTACCTGAGCCACCCCCCACCTTGTACACTGGGTCCCGCCACACAGAAGGACCCTTGTCCACCCGAGAACCCCTGTGCGGCAGCAGCTCCCGGCCATCCACTCACAGCCTCGGGCACCCAGCCCCCGGGACACAGGTGACAGCAGTGAGGGCAGGTGCCTCGTGAGTCACAGGGAGCCAGGCTGAAGGGGTCTCAGCCGAGAAGCGTCCCACCGGAGCGTGCGCCCTCACCAGCCCCGCGAAGGCCCCAGCCCCCTCGCCGCGCCCAGGAGCCGGGCCCTCACCACACGGCCCGGATGCTGACTTTGAGGCCCGGGGTCAGATCCTCGGCCACAAACTCGCAGGTGCAGCTCTTGTTGTCGTCCACGATGTCCTCCCCGGGGAGACTTGCTTCTGGGTGGAAGGACACAGCCATGAGGCGGCAGACGGGACAGAGCGGCCCCAGCACCACGGCCCCGCGGCACACACCTGTCAGAGAGCACACCCAGCTCCAGAACCCACCCCCACCCCCACCCGTGGCCCACGGGGAGCGGCCACCACGCGGGCTTGAAAGGGCGTCCTATGACTGGCCAAGTGGACACAGTGTGACGCGTCCACACCCGGTGACCGGGGAGCGTCCACCACGAGAAAGAGGGAAGCACGGTCACCAGCGCAGTGGGGATGAGCCTGGAGAACAGACACACAGAGCAAAGCCAGACACAGAAGGACGACCCCGTGTGACCCCACTGCTCGGGGCCCAGAACAGTGGGCCCACAGAGTCCGGGCGGGAGCGCCGCCAGACACGGGCCTCCTCGGGGTGTGGGGCGCTCTGGGACTGGAGGTGGTGGTGGACAAGGTCGACTGCGCTGCACGCCGCTGAGCACTCACTCTCAGGGCTAGTTCTTCACCTCAGTAGAGGAAGGGGCGGGGAAGGAGAGGCCCTGCCGAGGGTTGCCCGACCCACCTTCCGAGTTCTGCCGGGAAGCGGCGCCCCTGGCCCGGAAGGCCTGCCGTGCGCGGCCGCGCTCCCCGAAGCTCCAACTTTTGGGCACCTTGCTCGGACTGTCCTCCAGGCTCTGGTCGGCGCTGGGCGATCGCCGCATGGTCTGGGCCTGGGGGGACCCCTTGCCCTTGGCAGCCACGCCTCGGGGGCTGGAGAAGACACGGTCTTTCAAACTGACCTTCTGACTGCTCCCGCGAGAACCGACAGACGGACAGACGGACAGACACACAGAAAAACAGCAAGAGAGGTCACTCTGCAAAGAACACACACACCCGTGTCTGCTGGCGGCTAGCCCCGTATGTGGGGCCGCTGTGGCCAAGGGGATGGACACGGTCAGCTCCACCTCGGGGCCTGTGCGGATGCCCGGCCTGGCCGGGGAGTGGTCAGTGGACAAAAGGCGCCTGAGGCTTCTCCACGCTGTCCAGCCAAATGCCTGCGCGGCTACGGCTCTCCCTGTCACCTGCTGAGGGCCCGGCCCCTCCAGTGGTTTCCATACCTGCCCCCCAAACCCCTGCCCCCGGAACGGCCCCAGGGGGCACTCTCCAACCTGTGCCTCCACCACCTGCCCCGGGGCAGGAGGGTGGGCTCTGCAGCTGACCATGGGCCCCTCTGCCGCGTCCTGGGGAGCAGGGCACCAGAAGGGCGCAGCACGGAGGGCGAGGGTCTGCCTGCCTCCCCCCACCCAGACCAGCACAGGCCCACAGCGCCGCCGAACACGTCTGGGAGCAGAACGTCCACGCCCCCCGAGGGGTGGAAGCGGGCAGGCCGCACCAGCTGTAACGGGCCTTGCCGGCCCCGGCCCCGGCCCCGGCCCCGGCCCGAGGCCACAGTCACAGCCCTGCGAGGGTCTTCGGGCCTCCCTGCCCCTGTGTCTCCTGGTAATCGTGGAGACCGTCCTGACAGGCTGGCGACAGCCAGGAGACAGAGGCTGTCTCTGCTCGGGGTCAGAGGTCAGGCCCGGGGCCAGGCAGCCACTCCCTTCCTCCCGCCAGCAGTTTCCAACACCTGCCCAGGAGGAGAGTGGTGAACTGTGAACCCACTAGCCAGCAGCACATCTCTTCACAGAGCCTCCTGGAGTGGCCTCTGCGAGGCCCTGGGGCCTGGGACCAGCCCGCGTGGGCGCCTGGCAGGGCCCCTGCTGGCCCTGGGAAGCCGCCACCACCAGCTAATCCCTCAGACAGTGCCAGACCCACCTCAGCCACCCCCAGTCGGCCGCCTCCGCTGGCCAAGGAGGACCCGCCACTGAGACACGTCCATCAGACGGTGCAGAGATGGCGGGCCAAGGACAAGAGACAGCCCACAGCCTGGTCCGCCCAGCCTGGACACTGAGGTCCAGTTCTGTGCCCCCTCCCTGCCCCCGGGCAGCTGAGACCCCTCTGGGCTAGCCCGAGGCTTGGAGCCCACTCAGGGAGCGCTCCCCAGGAGCCCCTGGGGGCTCTGTGTCCCATGAGCACAAGAGTGGGGGTGTCTGCTGCTCGGAACACCGCTGGCCCCAAGCCCGGATCTGCGGTGCATGAGGCCAAGACAGGGGTTGGGGGCCAAGGGGCATCGGTAGCCAGGCCATGGGGGCTTTGGTGCAGGTAACCCTCTTCTTCCTTCGTTCCCAAAGGAGACCACCAGCTGGTCCAGGGGGACCATGAAACCAGGAGAACAGAAGACCCCAGCTGGACCTGATGCCCGGTGCAGCATAAGAACTTGGCCCATGCAGCTGCCCACGAGGACAGAGCCACAGGAGGGAGCCTTCCTGGCCTCGGCCTGGGCCCCCTGGCCCTGGCCCTCAGGCTGCTCAGACCAGGGAAGGGGTGCCCTGCTGGAGGAGGCCACGGGTGGTCATCTGGACATCCAAGGTCATCACAGCTCAGTGCCCACAGGCACTCAGCCCCCCAGCCACCCCAGCCCTGCCTCAACTCCAGGTGCCGGAACAGCTGGCCAACAGTCCTGCAGGTGTGAGAGAGGCCCTCCCTCAGCTCACAAACAAGGACAGAAGCAAACCCAGGACAGGGAAGGAGCCCGAGGCCAGACCAGCCTCCGTGTGGGAGACTAACTGGGGGCACCTGGACTTCAGCGTTTACATCGGGCCCAGGGAGCAAGTCCAGGAGGATCTAGGGGAGAAAGCCAGGCCCAGCCTCTCCTCCCCTGCCTGCCACGCTTCCCAAGGCGAAATTCCAAATACAGGAGGCCAGCCATCCACAGGGACAGGCGAGCGGGAGGCCCCAGCGGAGATCGGCCACACCCCAGTCTGCACAGCTGGGGCCCAGCGCAGCAGGGTTGGGGTGGGGGGGAGCTGCATCCACAGAGACCTGCCCAGCCAACGGCCAGACCGCGGATGCCCAGGGGAGGTAGGGGGTGGAGTGACGCTCGTGAGACTCGCGCACCGCAGAGCTGAGCGTGGCCCGGGCTCCTGGCCCAGCCGTGGACACCTCCGGCCCTTCTGATTCCCAGCAGCCTGATCACAACCCCTGACCTGAAGGAACAGCCTGTGGCCAGAAGCACCCTGGACACAAGCTCCAGGCAAGCAGTACAGCTTCTGCTGGGACCCCAAATCTCCTCTTGTGGGGCTGCAACAGCCTCCCCTGCAGCACCCACGTGGGGGACACACAGGCAGCACGGGCAGGTGGGGGCCACCCTTCGAGCCCCTCTCCAGGCGGGGGGCTCGGAGCATGCATGGATGCAGATGGACAAGCATGCCGCCGCCCTGGGGGCCCTGACCCTGCTGTGGAGCCCCTCCTGCTGCCCGCTGCTGGGCACCACGGCTCCCAGCTCCAGCGCGGACCACATGCACATGAGGACAGGTGAGCACAGCTGCCGGCACCTGCAGGGCCGCCCTGGTCGGGGAGGGGGCGGGCAGGAGGGGCACCCAGAGCAAGCAGGAGGACAGACGCCCCACACGCCCGACAGCAGACAGTGGACAGAGAGGGAACGTGCCAGCAGTCAGGGAGCCCACGGGGCGAAGGTCGGGCAGACTTTCACCGCCCCGTTTCCAGTCTGCCCTGAGCCAGGCCTGTACGGGGGAGGGGGAGCTGTGGACCTCCGGCTTTCCGGTGTGTCTGGTGTGTCAGGACCGAGGGGCCCGGCACCCACAGGACGGAGCCGCCTCCCGCGGGCGGGCGGGTTAAGGGCAGCGGCCCTCTGCTGCGTAGTAGAGGTGCTAGATGGGCCAGCTGCAGGGGAGCGACTCGCCAGAGAGCAGTCAGAGCCTGGACGCTCCGGTGCTCTGTCGGGGTTTCAGAGCCCCCGGCCAGCCCCCCTCCTGCTGGGAGCAGAGCATCGTTTGGCTTGCAGATGAGGAAGGGCATTGGCTCCGTGACTACGTCACCAGGAGGGTTTGGAGTCAGAGGGAGCCTAGCGCTCCAGAAGCGGCTGCCAATCAGAATCGGGCCTAGGGGGCCGGGCCGGCGCCACCTCTCCCTGGTCCATCTAGAACCTCTAATAAGCAGAGTGTCCGGAGCAGGAGGGGACAAGAGCCGTGCAGCAATGGTTGTCCGAGCGGCGTGTCCGAGGTACCTAGCGTGTCCAGGGCAGCATCCACACAGGGACTCTCTGCACCGTCTGCCTTTACTGGAAATGAGGAGAGGACAGTTAGTCCCGGGGGCGCCGGCATCCAGGACGTGACCAGAGGGGCCTGCCCGGCGCGCGGGCAGAGGGCACAGAACCGAGCCACCGACCGACCCAGGGCAGCTCTGGGCTCCGGCCCCACTGGCTCCAGAGTTCGCGTCTGAGTGAGAGCAGCCGGGAGGCCGTGAAGAAAGTCTTCCCGCTGGCCTGGAAAAGAATAGCCCCTATTTTTGGAGGAAAAAAATTCCCTGTTTTTTCCTCCAAAAATACCTTTTCCTTCCAGCATGTAACCAGTTTTGGGACCACGTCTTTTAAAAGATGTATTATTTTTTGCTCTATTCATGCCAACAAAAAAATAATACATGGGCTAAGGCTTTGCCAGTTCTGGGAAGACAGGACTCCAGAAAGCTCACGTTTTCAGAGGAAAAACGTGCCAGTTTGGCTTCACAAACCAACCCAGCCAGCGGCCCGATCAGAGCGGCCCCGGCTTACCAGGAGACAGCAGCTGCCTCTACCTGGAGGGAGCCAAGGAGGAGGGGGCTCGGGGCACCTGGACTTGGAGGGACCGCCAAGGTCGGATCTTGGGTGAAGTCCACCCCATGCTGAGGCCCCGGCAGGGCAGAGACGGAAGGCCCACGGCCAGCCCTGCCCAAGAACCTCCCCAAAGGCCCGAGACTCATCTCTGCACTAGAACCTGCAAACTTCTAAGCAAAAATGAAAAGAACCAGAACAAGCAAGAACTTTAAGAAACCCTTCACTTCCCCGGGGCCTCTCTCTGCCTCCACCTTCGGTGCTGTTGCTTCTGTGACAGTAGTTCTCAAACTGTGCACCTGAGCAACCCAGATGCGCCCGTGTCCTCACGTTCATTTAAACTCCAGTGGCACCTGCCAGTGTCCAGACAAGGATCTCCCCACTACGCATGAAGGACACCCTTTCTCAACACCAGCAAGCCTGCAGGTCAAGGTTCCGCAAGGAGCTTTCGCTTGGCTGCCCACGGCTCAGGGTCACTGGACCCCCCCCCCGGCCTCATCCCCCCACAGAGGACCCCCGCCAGCACGGCTTCCTCCCGATGGGACCTTCCCTAGTCACTTCGGGGTGTTGAACAAGATGAACTAGAGGTGGATCCCAGGCAGGACGGAGCCGTCAGGTGAGAGTACTCATGCAGGGGTCCCTAGGACCCGGAACCTCACCCAGTGGCCCCTGAATCTGGGGCAAATGTGGTCTCCCAGGGTGCATTCTGGAGGCAGCCACAATTCCACCAGGGCCTGCTGGACAGCAAAGGACCTAAAGACCCGGACCCCACCCCCCCGCCAGCTCCTCCCGGGGTCCCCAGGCCTGCACACAGGGCCCTGCCCACCCTGCCTGGAGGCTCCTCCCCTGGGAAGAGGATGTGGCGGGGATGGTCTCTGCCTCCAGCTCCCTGGGATGGCCCCAGCTTTGACCACTCCTCCAACCTTCAAACTTCCTGCTGCCTTTGAAGCTCCCAGCAGTTGCCCCAGAAGCATCTCCCAGGCCCCGTGGCCCAACACCACCAAACGCACCATTCCGTGGGTGCAGGCAACGGCCCCGTGCCTGGCTCCCAAGCCCAGGAGACCGAAGACCGGTTCTCTAACTGCATGGAATCTTTAATTTTAGTGAAAACTTAAACAGCCTCTCGTGGCCAGTGGCTCCTGTGTGGGGCAGTGCCGTCTGAGAGCATGAGAGAGCGGGGGACGGCAGGCTGCTGGCAGACGGCCCTCCCCGGGCACTGCCCCGTGGCTTTGGGGGTGGGAGGATGCCTGGCTAAAGCCCGTCTCCTCCAGGCCCCAGCCTGGCACCAGGGTTTCCTGCCCAGGTCGGCCCCATGGAACCTCACCCCATCCAGACTGCCGGCAGGCAAGCCCAGGGGACCTGGGGGCCCAAGAGGGTGGGAGAGGTGCCCACAGACACTCACCAAGACCAGACTGGACAGACACGCAGGCAAGCAAGGCACACTGCCGCCTGCGACGAGGAGGGGGCCACACGGACCAGGGCAAAGCGGCTGGGGTGCAGGGGTTCCCCCAGGCACAGAGGGGCATTCAGAAACAGGGTGGGACACAGGGAGAGGTCAGAGACACACCCGGAGCAGCATAGCCCGAGACCCCCGCCCGCCTCGACCCCCAGCCCCACTCCTCGATGTGGACACCCACACAGGCAAGGGAAGCGCTTCCACCTTGAGCCAGGGCCGGGGGTCTCACAGCAGCTGAGGGAGGGTTCCTGGATCCACCCTGCCCACCTGCACTTTGTGGAACAAGGTCCCCTCGCCAGGCAGCTCAGGGACAGCCCACCCCACCCTGGGCCCAGCGGCAGGACATTTTCCCGCACACCTGCTGTGCCCCTGGGTGCTAAACGTGGCTCTGGACGCCCCAGTCAGGGGAAAGAAATGCCGCCTCTGTCACCTGGTGGACAGGTGTGCATCCAGGAGAGGCAGGCCCTCTGCTCCCAGGGCCTCAGCCCAGGGTCCCCGGGAGGCGGGCTGGTCCAGGCAGGCCCGGGAAGCCGCTGGGTCACAGGCAGGCAGGGACACAGGACACACGGGGAGGAACAGAGGGGCGGTGTGCGGGAAGCAGGGAGGAGCCACAGAACGTACCGGAGAGCCGGGGGCTCCCTGTGTCCTCACCTCGAGTCCTGCTTTCAGGGCCAGCCACCTCATCCCCAAAGACAGAGCGGACGTGATAGGGGCCCGAGAAGGGCAGTGACATGATTAAAGGCACTTGGGGGGACAGCAAGATTTTCCAGATTGGGGGAGGGGAGGGCAGGAGAGGAGAGAGAGAGAGAGACAGGCTGAGACGACAGTTGTTGGCTGGGGAGTAAAGCAGGGCTCGAGAAGCCGCGTCCGGCCAGAGGGGCCTTGGTCCACCGGGCGGGCGGGCTGAGGCCGGAGCAGCGCCCACCAGGGCAGAGCCAAGGGCAGACCCACCTGCTTCCTCAGGCAGGAAGGGCCGAAGGCAGCGCCAACGGGGACTGACAGAACGGGACACCCTTGGGGCGCGCCGCACACCAGGCCCTGCCGCACACGTCTCCCACCCGGCCCTGACCACAGCCCCGCGTCGGGACCCCCTCGCTCCCATCCTGCGGATGAGAACGGAGCTCGCTGCCCGGGCTGAACCCTCTGGTCCCGGGTCTGAGGGGTCACCACTTCTGCTCTTTGGGCTGGTTGGGGGCAAAAGCATTGCTGACCTCCCCAGTCCCAGTCCCAGCTGCCACCCCACTTTTGGGGACGTGAGGGATGGAGGCGCAGGCCCCCTTCTGATGGAGGCTGAGGGTGGGGCTCAGCCTGACTCCTCCCCAGCCGAGTGGCCGGCCAAGCTGCCTTCGGTCCAGGTGAGCAGGCACCTCTGGACCACGGCCTGGGGAGCTGGAATCACTCTGCATGGGGGAGCGGGCACCGGGGACCCCTGAGCTCAGAGATACACAGTGACCCACACGCAGGCTGAGGTTCATCAAACTCAGAAGTTGGAAACTGACCTGGATTTTCTATTAAACACTAGGAAACTAGCAGGCTGCCAGCACGCCTTCGCTGCCCCCAGCAGAGGCGGCCCGTGGGGGTCCCTACACCCACCAGTCTCTAACTCCCAGAAGTAACAGAGCTGCAGGGGCCTGAACAGACACGGGGAGGGGGAGCTCCAGCCCCACCGAGGGGCTGTGAGGGGGTGGGAGACTCTGCCCAAAAGGGGACCCTCTCCCACTCGTCCAGGAAACTTCAGCAAACGGGACTTGCCAGTGGGTGGAGCGAAGACGCCTCGGTAGAGTGGCCCCACCTTCCACCCTCTGCCCCGACCCGCAGTGTCGGAGGGAGACCTGTCCACTCAGAACGGCCCTGTGCCTGGACTGGCAGGCGTGCTCTCCCAGAAGCCCCTGCCTTCGAGGGGCTGCATCCTGGGTGGGAGGCGGGAGGGAGCTGCCCCTAGGCTATGAGCCAGCCCCGGGCCCTGGGAGGGGACATGCACACAGCAGGTGATTTAAGGGCCCACATCACCGGCGGGCAGGGGTCTGCACACAGTTCCACACGGGAGCACGCCCAGGCCCCACGACAGCCCTCGGCTACCGGGTGACACGCAGAGCAGGCACGGAGGGAGCAGGAGGCAGACGGGCACTGACCTTGGCGAGGGCTCCGGCTGAGGCTCCTTCCTTCAAACAGAGGCACAAGACTATTAGCAGCCGGCCCGCCATGTAGAACCCAGCACAGACCCCACACCCAGCCCAGGCCCGCCCCCATGCTCCCACGGGCGGGTATCTGCGTGTGTGAGGGGTGCAGAAACAGCCCCCCGTCTGAGGGCCCCTGGGGGAACCCGGAAGGGGCCACAGGAAGCTCTGAGCCTGAGGTCACTACCTCCCCACACGTGGGGGCACGCATTTTAATCAGAAGCACCAACATTAACAAAGTTTCAAAGAGGCACGTGAGGGAGGCACTGGAGGTGGTCAACTTCCGCGGTCGACGTTCAGGCCAGACATCAGCTGAGACGCTCCCGCCGCCGTGGGCTTGACGGAATTGCCACTCTTGGAGGGTGGGCTGGCGCCGAGCCCTGGGCGCGTGTCCCCAGGTCCTGGTCTGCTTGGGCTGGTGACCTCCACGAGCGAACACCGAACAGAAGGCTGAGGGCTTGGACTGCTCTTGGTTGGTCCACGGACAACTACCGGCCAGCCCCGCAGGTGCCTCGGGACGGCGGTGCTCACACTGGTCTGTTGTGTCACCAAGCGGGCGCTCCGTGCACGTCCAAAGTCTTTGCAGAACAGGCTCTGTGTCACCATGACACTGGCAGAGCCAACGTGACAACGAAGACAAGACGGTGTGGCCAGACAACCTGCTTGGGGCTGGGGTCTCTGGGGACCGACCCCCGGAACTCACACCCTCGGGAATAACGTCCACCCCAGAGGGACTAGCTCAGAAACGCGAGTGGAGGCCCCGTGGGCGCCCCATGCCGACAGCGCCACTGGGAGCTCGACGTTTAGAGCTGCCCTGGGCACTCTCAGCCCGGCCCGGGGCCGTCCGTTTCCCGGGACGTGTCAGGTTCCTGGGAGGCCAAAAGCAAGGCAGCACAGACCTGCACTGAAAACAACAGAAACACGCCCTCGCCCAGCTCTGGAGACCAGACGTCCGAAGCCAACGCGTCCGTCAGGCTGGGCTCCCTCCAGCTGCCCTGGGAGGGTCCTTCCTGCCCCTCCAGCTCCTGGAGGCCCCGGCCTGGGCTCATGGCTGCCTCCCTCCAATCTCAGCGGATGCGTCTCCTCAGGACACTTGTAAATGGCTCTGGGATCCACCAGACAGCCCAGGACGAGCTCATCCAGAGACCCTTAACCACAGCGGCAAACAAGGCCCATTCACGAGGCTCCAGGGCACGGACCCGTCTTGGTGGAGCCACCATTCAACCCACTACGGTCCATCCCCCAAAGTTCATGTCCACTTTACATCCAGAACACATTCACCCCAAGCCAACATCTCTCAAAGACCCAGCCCGCTACAGCATCAGCTCTGTGTCCAAAGCCTCACTTCAGCCCACAAAGTCCCGAAGGTCATCGTCTCAATCACCTGAATCCGGTGTGAGCGGCTCTGGGTGTGGTCCGTGAGTGGACCTGTGAACCCAGAAGGCAAGTGATCTGCTCCAAAATGCAGCGGCAGGACTGGCACAGGCCAGACGCGCCTGTTCAAAACGGGAAACCAGGAGGAACAGCCACCGGTCACCCACATTTGAAATCCCACAGGGCAAATCCACTTGGTTGGAAGCCCCTTGCCCACCTCTGTGCTCCTGGCTCCCTAAGCCTCGGCCCGCACCCCCGGCCGAGGCATCGTCCCTCCTCCTGGAGGGCCACACGTGCGCAGCCAGCCGACTGGCTCCACCAGCCTGCTTCCCGCGGCGGAACCCCAGGGCTGCCGCGTTCCTGCTTTCTGCCCACCTCCCTCCCTCGCTCTTGGTCCAGGCAGGCAGTGTTTCTGCCAGAATGAAACTCCTAAAGCCTCGTGGGCACCCGCACATGCCCCAGGAGGGACCTCTGCCCGGTGACCCACCCTAGTCCCGCTCCTGCCAGGAGGGCCGGTCGCACCCACGACCACACACCGGTCTCCCCCACGACAGCCGTCCAGCCACGCCCATGGCCCTCTCTCCAGAGCACGCTCTCCTGGACCCAGGGTCCTGGTTCATGGTCCTGTGCACCCTGGACGGGCCCGGGCCGCTCCTGCCTCCACCCCCTTCTCTCCACCTGCGTTTTCCCACAAGCAGCGAGGAGACACCAGGCCCACGGCCCACACTCTGCCTGGAAATCTCCTCACTAAACGTCCAGGTTCATCGAGTGCAAGTTCTGGGATGGGATTCGGCCACTTTCTATGCCATTTACAGAAAGGGTCACCTTTCCTCCAGTCCCCAACAACTCGCCTCATGCCAACCGAGCCCTGCCTCTGCGTCGTATGTAGAGCAGTCACGGCAATTCCTGCATCACGGGACATCCCCATGCGCCTCAGTCATCGTGCCTGCCAGCTCCCACGGGAACCGATTTTAACGTCCGTATTCCCACCAACTGCCTCTCCCAGGCAATCTGGGCCTTCTCTCTTGTGCTCTTCAAAACGCTGCCGCCGTCATCCAATTCCAACCACTCTCCAGTCTCAGCCTGGCAGCACCCCACCTCCCGGCCCCAAAATCCCTGCTCGGCTGCCAGAGCTGCTGCGATGCTGCACCACAAGCAGGGCAGCTTAACTAAATCACAGAAGCGCGTCCTCGCCCAGCTCTGGAGGCCAGGCTCCAAAATCAAGATGTCAGCAGGGCGACCCCTCTGGGGCTCCAGAAAGGGTCTTCCTCGGCTCCCCAGCTCCTGGTGGCCTCAGGCATCCCCTGGCTGGCGGCCATCTCCCTCCAGTGTCTGCCTCCGCCCACGTGGCCATCTTCAGTGTCTTGTGAAGGACACGTGTCATTGGCTGAGGGCCCACACTGATCTAGGAGGACCTCACGCTGAGGCCCTTCACTTAATCACATTCACAGAGATTTCTTCCAGATAAGGTCCCATTCACAAGTCGCAGGACATGGACATATCTCTGCAGGGTGGAGGCCACCATTCAACCCACGACGGCTGCTCACCCCGAGGAGGGTTCTTCAGTCGGGGAGCCCCGTGGGCACCGTCCTTGCCTCTCTCCCATCTGCAAGCTTGTCTCCCATGCACATCCGTCTCTGTCCAGCACTCTGGGAGTCGCAGATTTTGTGTTCATGGGAGAACCGGCGGTTACCACCCACATGTGTGTCCACTCAATGCTCCAGGGAGATGCGGGGCTGGACTCTGCCTCCCACCCGCAGCCAGAGCTTCCTGGCCCCACGTGGAGGTCCACCCTCTGCCCCACCCTCACAAGCAGCCGCCCTTGGGATGGGAGCCTAGGGCAGGGTCGGCAAAAGCGGAAACCACCAGTAGCACCGGGTCCCGTGGCCAGCCCACCGGGAGCGCCCCGGGGCTCGGCGGCAGCCGGGGCCCCTCAGGAGTCCCAGACACCAGGGCCCCGAGCTCCAGCCTGCAGCACCCGCTAACCTGAAGGTGAGGCCAGATTTACTCTTGAGGTTCCGCAGCAGCTCCAGCTGGTTGAGTGGCGGGATCAGTCTGCAGCGAGAGGAGAGGGCAGTGAGCCCCCGCCACGCAGCCCAGGGCCCTCACCCCGCCCTCACCGGGGTCACCTCGCACACGGGGCAGGCGGCGCCCGGGGGACTCGGGCTGCGCCCTGTCACAGGCAGAGAGGGGGACTTCACGCGGCCCGGGCTGGCGTCTCCACCGCTGGGGCCGGGACAGCAGCCACACTCCCCGGGGGGGACTCTCCAGGGGCTTGGCCCTGGCAGTGGGCGGTGCCCAGGCCGTCCCTAGAGACCCGGCCCTGCCCACATGGAGCGGGCCCAGCACAGCCCTGGAAGACAGGGGCTGGGGGCTTCTCCCAAGCCCTGAGCACCCCCTGGGGGCAGCACAGTGGCAAATGCAGCCCCCCAACGTCCTGAGGCTCCCCGACCCGTCTCCTCAGAGCCACACTCTCTGCCAAAGCTGGGGCGGGGCCGAGGTCAGTGGGAAGGGCTGTGCCAGGCAGAGAGGCCCACTGGTCTGTAGGTGAGCCTCCAGGACGGCTGGAGGAGAGGCCCAGGACCCTGCACCACCTGGCCTGGCTCTGTTCCAAGGCCCCTCTTCCCAAACCAAGTCACGGCCACCAGGCCCACATTCAACACTGCAGCCACCAGGCAGGGAATCCGAGAGGTGAATCAAGTTTCCTTGTGATGCCAGCGGCGGGCTGCACACCTGGGAGGTTCCCGGGGAAGCCCAGGCTCCCCACTCCGGCCGTAGGAGCCTCGGGTCCTCACTAGGTCTGCAGAGACTCCTGCTCCCCACCCACCCCCAACCCACCCCTCACCCACCTCCTCCCAGCTCCTTGTCACCTTCTGCCCCTTCACAGGTTCTCGTCTCTTTGCCCTGCTTCCTGACCCTGGTCTCTCCTTCCTGACCCAGCCTGACCCGCTGTGACACCCCCACCGCTGTGACACCCTCAGTGCTGTGACACCCCCACCCAGTCTCAGCCCCCGAATCTTGTCCTGAGCCTCCATGGTTCCTGACCCTGAGGCCCCCGATGCCCCAGGGCACCTCTGTCCAAGCCTCTCCTGGGCATGCTCCCTCTGTGTCCTGCAGTGCCACCACCCCCGGCACAGGCCTGGCTCCAGCCCTCACCCCACCCCCCACCCCGTCTCCTCCTGGACCTGCCTCTCTCCTCCCGCCCCTCCTGTGCCCTCCTCCCCTGGGGCTCTCTGGACGCCCACCACCCTCCCTCCTGGGGCTCGTTCTTGTCACCCTCCTGCTCAGACTCTCCAGAGCGCCCTGTTGCCTCCAAGGTAGAAGGATCTCTGACCCCGCTGCACCCGGACGCGCCTGCCGGCCCTCCCTGCTAGTCTCTGGCTTTGCTCTGGTCCGCCCTCCTCTGCCCAGCGCTGCCCTCTGGCGCCAGGCGGAGTGCCCTCTGCCCCCCTGTGGCCCCAGCAGAGCCAGGCCTGGATCCTGGAACACATGCCCTCCCCCCGCCTCCCCTGTCCTCATAGGTCAAGACCAAGCAGGAGGCCCGGGCAGTCGGGTCGGCTCACGTCATGGGTGCAGCGGAGCCCCAGGACTGGACATGGGGCAGAGTTGGTCCTCCCACCCCCCCGACCGCCCACCACAGGGCCTAGAGCAGAGACCCCAGACCGCTGGCCCCAATCAGCCCCCACACACACAGGTCCAGGGTAGGGACACGCAGTGAGGACATCATGCCTTGGACACACAGCGGCAGGGAACAGAACACGGGCGGGCAAGGCCACGGGCAGGGACGTGCACGCACCACGCACATCGGGGCCACGCACACGCAGCACCGGTGTGGGGGATGAGGGTGCCGTGAGCGACAGGGGTGGGGACACGCTGGGGAGCGTCTCCCAGGAGCGAGCAATTGTTAGTCTGGGAGTCAGCCACCTCCAGGAGGCCTGGGGCAGGGGGCACCTCCACAGACGTCGAGGGGTGTGGGGCTGGCTGGAAAAGACGGACCGAGGGAGCCACCAGGTCTAGGAGGGGCTGTCAGGGCCTGACGCAGGCACCCTCCAGCTGCGTCTGCCCCAGCAGACCAGGACCAGCAGCTGGGGAAGGACGCTGCTCCCACTGGCACCTTGTCCTCTGAGTGAGGCCCCCGGGGTCTGCAGCCAAGGGGAAGGGTAAGCACTGCTGGGTGGAGAGGCCGAGGGGCTCAAGTCCCTCCCTCCCATGGAGCGTGCCCTGCACTGCCCAGCACGGCACCCTCTTCCCTTCTGGGAGTGGAGGGGCTGACTTTCTAACAGGGCGCCCATTCAGGTGCCAGGGGAGGGTGAGAGACCCCTGGAGGGCCCCTCCTGGCCTACGCAGGGAGACGGTGTCCCTGGCTCGGCAGGGCCATGCGTGGATGTCCCCGTCTAGCACAGTCCCACCACTCTGCAGGGAAGGACAGGGCCTGCAGGGGGACCTGGCCCCGGGCTCGGGGAAACCTCCTATAGCAGCTCAGGGCCCCCAGTAGGCCCGGAACCCCAGACTAGGGCACAGCAGGAGGAGAGCCCTCGGCGCAGACACAATGCAGGGACACACAGGTGCACCGCAGCCTCTCCTCCCAGGGCCTGCAGCCTCCCTCTCACTGCAGTGGGAAGACTCGAGGCAGGGGGAGCGAGGGCATAGAGGGAGCCCCCAAGCAGGGTTGGGGTGAGCTGGCTGGGCAGAGGCCCCATGACCAGCACAGAGGGCCGCAGGCTGGGGAGCCCCGTCTCTACCACCTCTGCGTTGGGTGTAAGTGGGGCCCGTGGGGCGGGATGGAGGCGCAAGGAGAGACTCCAGCCACTGAGACAAGGCAGGAAGCGGGACGAGGAACAGAGGACACCTGGGACAGACAGATCCAGCACGAGAAAGCAGGTTGGGGTGGGGGCAGTCGAGAGAGGTGGCCAGGGGAGCGAGGGAGGCGCGCGTGGCTCCAGGCTGGGGCCACAGGCTGGGCGGGGCACAGGGGCGCCTGGCGGGGGCGCGGGGCGGCCCCGGAACGGACCCCAACAGAACAGGACCACACCACACACTTTCTGCCCATGCAGTCCTACCTGGAGGCCCCGTAGGTTTGAGTTTGCGAGCTTTCAAGGGTTTTCACACACACACAAAGGGAAAGGAACGAAAATTGGAAAAGAACGGGATAAGAAAAACGAAGCGAAGAAAACGGTCAAGGAAAGTGGGGGGAACAAAAGAACAAAGAAAATTAGCAGGAGGGTCAGTGCTGCCTGGACCGGAGCGCTGGGAGCGCCGTGCGGGGCCGAAGGCAGGCGCCTCTGGCGGGGAAGGTGGCACCGGGCGCCCGCACCAAGCTGAGTGCTCCAGAAAGTGCGGGTGGGGTGGACGTGGAGGGAGGGCTGGGCGGCCCCCCCTCTCCAGGTGGCAAATCCTCACAGAGGCAGGGGGCCGGTGGAGCCCCAGGCGGACAGCTCCGTGAGTGCAAACCCCAGGAGCAGGTAAGGAGACTGGGGCCCCCCAGGCCCCCAAGGGTGGAGGGCAGGCTGGCGGGGCAGTGCCCACCTGAGGGCACCAGCCCTGCATGGACTCCGGGCGGCCCCATCGCTTCTCAGCTCAGACCTCGTCTAAGCTGGAGCCTGGCACAGACAAGCCCAGGGTGGCCTGGAAAGCCGCCGGCTGACCAGCGGCCTCATGGGTCTACTGGCACTGCCCCCGCTGACCGCCCCCGGGGAGGGACTGCCGGCCCCTTCTCTCCCACCGAGGGCACCTAGGAGTGTCTGTGCTTTGTCCTTTCGGGGCCTCACTGTGGTCCTGGGTCCTCTCCTTTCTCGGGGAGAGAACCCGGCCCCCGCTGAAGGACAGAGGGTCAAGGTTAAGGTTAGCCTTTCACTTCTAAACGCGGGGCCACCCTGGCAGGGCCGCGCCGCGCCGCGCCGCACCGGGGCTGCGATTCACGGACTGGCCAGCATTTACCTCCGCGAGCTCTGGGGGGCTGTCTCCGCGGTGCTCACACACAAGGCACCTGACAGCAAGGACACTAAGCAGGGGGGCGGAATGAAGGTGAAAAATAAAAGCCGCAAACTACAAAACAAAGAACAAAATTAACACCTCAAAATAAATCACACACAATTCTTTTTTGGAAGTTACACACATTTTAAAGAAAGAGAAACAAAAGAAATCAGAATGATGAACAACAACAAAAAATGGGGCTTAAAGAACAAACGGGAGGGGCGGGGGGTACCTGTACATGGGCACGGTCACCGTGCGCTCATAGTACTGCCACGTGGAGTGCAGGTCCGTGCGTGACAGGTTGGTGGCGTAGAACCTCCAGGCGGACTGCAGTGGAGGACAGGGGGGTCAGGCGGCCCTGAGGGGAGGCGGGGCTGGCAGAGCCCAAGGCCTCAGGAGGGGCCCCCACCTCTCCCAGGGCCTGGCCCCTGAGCGCCCCCCTGCACCAGGCTCTGGACCGCGGTCCCCTGGCACCTGCCCCACCCCCGACAGGCCTCAGCCTCTGTAGAATGGACACACATGTTTGCCCGCTGTGGCTGGCGGGGCCTGGAGGAAGGGGCGCAGGTCAAGCACACGGTGAGTCTGCAGGGGGCCTCCACTTCTTTCCTTTCATCTCATCTCACTGAGGCCCAGCAGCTACCACCTGGCATCGTGGCTGCCTTCCTGCCCTCCCCCAGCCCTGAGGGAGCTTTCCACTGGACTCCGGAGCTGGGGGCGGGGGCAGAGCCAGGGACCCGCTGGCCAGCCCTTATTTTGAAATGCGTCACCCCGCCGCCTTCCGGCCCCCACAGTCTCTGGTGAGGAATCGGCAGTTACTCTCACTGAGGCCCCTTGGGCATCAGAAGTCACTTCTCTCTCGCTGCTTCCAAGATCTGCCTTCACCAGTGTGCTCCCAGTGTGTCCCGGAGCAGCTCTGTGACTATCCTGCTTGGATGTATAGATTCACGCCTTCCACCCAATCTGGGAAGTTTTCAGTCTTTTCGCCGCCTCTCTTCCCTTTCTGGGACTGCCATTATGCCAAGATCGGCAGGTTAGCTGGTGTCCCGCCAGTCTCACGGGCTCTGTTCATTCCCCTTCCTTTGCTTTCTTTCTGCCCCGCAGCCTGGGTAACTTCGACTGACCCGTCTGCAGGTTTGCCGACGCTGCCTCATGCCGGCTCAGGTCTGCTGCTGACCCTCCGGTGAGTTTTTCGTTTCAGCCACTGTACCCCTCAGCTCCCGAATTTCTCTCTGGCTCCCTTTTATAATTTTGATCTCTACTGACACTCCCCGTTGGGTGAGATGTCAGTCTTCTGTTTTCCTTTGGTTCTTTCCTGTGGATCCCTTTAGACTTCTGAGCATACTTAAACGGCTGACTTGATGTCTTCGTCTAGTAAATCAAATACCTGAGCTTCTTCAGAGACAGTGTCCGCTGATTTTTCTCCTTGTGATTAGACCATACCTCCTTGTTTCTTTGCATGCCTCACAATTTCTCGTTGAAAACTGGACATTTTGAGTATTACCACGTGGTTCTTCGGAAGCAGATTCTCCCCTGTCCCCAGAGCTTTTCGCTGCTGCTCGCCACTGACGGTAGCTGTTTGTCAAATGACTTTTCTAAGCTGTTCTGCAAACACTGTACTCTTCGTTGTGTGTGGTCACTCACATCTGTTCCCCTTACCTCAGTGGTCAGTGACTTGACAGAGGTTCCATTAAACCCAACAAACCAAAGAGGAAACAAACACCCTCGGTCCCTGCAGACCGGCCCTGCGTGGGGGCACATTCAGCAAGGCCACGTACAGCTCCACCTTAGCCTTCACTTCCTGTTGCATGGAGTCTAAAGACGGCCTGAGGTGAGCACTGAGGGTCTTCTCTAGTCACTTCTGAGCCTGCGTCCAGCACTGCGCAAGTGAGTGGCCGCCTACATCCCCCCGAGACATGGGGGTCCCTCCCAAACCCTCAGTCCCCTGTGAGTCCTTCCCAAACCTCTGAGCTTCTTGGAGAGGAGAGGAAGAGGGGAGGTGCCGTGTGTTCGGGCCTCACCCCCTCCCTGCGATGCCCGAGCCTCTGAACCGCAGGCAGGGCTGCGACTTCACTGCCAGTGGGCGAGACTGCGGCGCTTTTGTTCTTCTTTATATCCTTGTGCAATTAAAACAAGTAGCCATTTGAAGCTCTTACGGTGAAAGACACACGCGTACATATACCCGTAAATGCAGGCTGCACCCAGGGCAGGACCTCGTCGTCAAGAAAGACAGACACGTGAGGTGCTGGGGCCATGTCCAGCCAGCGGTAGAGCCGGTCAGTTCCAAAGTCCCCGGGCCCCCCACGCTTTGAGAGCGGCTGTGGGAACATGAGGCCACACTTTCAGGATGGCTCAGGAAGCACTGCTGGGCGCCGAGCAGCCACTGTGGCCCCTGGCGGTGGGGTGGGCCTTCAGCTGGGGCACCTACCTGAGGTGGGGCCTCTGAACCCTGATCCCACACCTGCAGGGTGGGTACCAGTGCTATGAAGGGACACCTCAGGGGCAGCTGTGACAGCCTGGCCCAGAGCCCGGGGCCAGCACCAGCCTCCACGCTGCCTGGGCTGGAGCCGCCATGCAGCCCGGGGCGTCTGAGCTGGTTCTCGGCACAGACACTGGCTCCCCGACAGGGAGACGCTGAGCAGGGCTCTGCTCCGACGCCGTGGGCCCGGCCAGAGGCTCCGCCAGTTCCCGTGGGGGTTCCTGTGGGGGTTCCCGTGGGGGTTCCCGTGGGGGTCCACGTGGGGGCCGCCTGGACTCACCTGGATCAGGCCAGCTGCAGGGTTCCGCCTCTTCTCAAAGTGCTTCTGACGATGCTGCTCTTGAACTTTCAGGGCGAAGCCAGACCCCAGAATGCCCTGCAGGCCACTGGGATCAGATGGCGCCCCAGGGACCACAGTCCCCCCACCCTTGCCTGCACTCCTGGCTCTACCCTCCCACCTTCTCAGCCCCTCATCACCAGGAGTCACCAGGAGACTGGCTGGGGGGAAGACTTGGGCTCACAGGAGCCTGGCAGGGCCCGCCCACACGGAACACACCTGGGCCCAGAGAGCAGTCCTCCTGCCCTGGTCTGTCCACACTGACGTGAGCGGAGGGGTGAGGCCCAGGGTCACAGGAGGGCCACCTGGGGAGCAGCCCCACTGGCCACCCCCGACCCTGCCTGGCTGTGGGTGACAGTTATCTGAAGCTCCGCGGCAGGAGATGGGGTCCCGGGTGCCCTGGGAGCTGACGGGGGGCCGTGTCGCCCTGCAGCACTGCTCCTGGTAATAGGGCCCCTCCTGGCCCAGCCCACTGGGCTGGGGGGAGCTGGCAGGTGTGGGTCAGAAGGCACAGCTGGGAGAGACTCAGAGCCCCCGATGGAGCCTTGTGGGAGCTCTGTCCCCACGGAGGTGCCGCTTGCAGCTGCTCGGGGGCTGGGGGCCTGCTGGGAGCCATGTGCCCGCCTCATGTCACTGAGGTCCCTGGAGCCCGAGACTCGTCCCCAGCAGAGGCAGGAGGGGCAGGACTTACAGCAGGAAGAGCAAAGAAGGAGACACCGATGAGGGTGAAGGTCGCTGCCAGGAGCCTCCCGTTCCAGGTCTGGGGGTACTTGTCCCCGTAGCCGATGGTCGTCAGGGTGATCTGCGGACAGCGGGGCCCATCACTGCCAAGCCGGGCAGTGGCCGCAGGGAGGCCAGGGAGCTGAGCCGGACGCGCCTCCTCCTCCACCCCAGGGTCTACACAAAGGGCTCGCCCGCCCCCCTGGGCAGCTGGACAACCCCCCCAACTGCCCTCACCCCTCAGCAGCCTCATCCCAACGCTCCCCCTCCCTCCATGCCGGGCGGCGGTCACTCAAAGGCTCTGCTCCTGCGTGTCGCCCAGGCTAGCAGGGCAGGTTCGCCGTGGACGGAGCAGCGGCTCCAGCTGAGCTCAGGCCAGGTGGGTGGCCAGGAGGCTCGCAGAGAGCAGGGCCTGAGAGGGGACAGTGCCCAGAGGGCCCCTCCAGGGACACAGAGAGGGTTGTGTGGGGGCCCTCAGAAGGCGGCTTGTAAGCCGAGGCCAGAAGAGGAGTGGGAGAGGGCTGGGGGAGGAAGAGGACCTTCTCCCTGTGGTGTGGCGGGCAGCGCGGGCGGCCCCAGGGCGATGGAGGGACCGGGAGACTCGGCGTCCGGGGGCCAGCACCCAGGGGCGGCGTTCATGGCCCGCACGCGGGAGGCCAGCTTGAGAGGGAGGCAGTGGGGGGACTCCCCCAACACCAGTGAGCCCCTCCAAGGACCACAGGCCTGCAGAGCAGAAGAAAGGGGGCCTCAGGCAGGAGGCTACCCAAGAATGGCAGTGATGGGAAGGGGGCTGACCTCATCCTGTCACAGCACAAAATGAAATCTTCCAAGTGTGACGTTCACAGTGGGGGCCACGGTGTAGGTGTGACTGGGGAGCACGCAGGAGGGGTCCGGGCTGGGGAAGACGGGCACAGCGGGGGTTCCATGTAACACTCAGGCACTACTCGGCATATTAAAATTTTGGATTCAATTCTTAAAGATGGGAAGGCCCTCAGGAAGGGCAGGCCGCATCACCAGCGGGGGCAGACTGTCCAGTCAGAGCCTGGACCTGCAGGGAGCTGTGGGCTCTGGGCCCCAGCCTCAACTCCCCTCGCCTACCCTGTGCCCAGGCCCCTGACCACCCTGCTGCCCACGTGGTGAGATAGAAGGACACGGATTCGAGCCTTGTGGCAATTAAAATGACCACAAGTAAACTGCATTCTGCTTAAACGCTGGGTGGAGGCTGGCATCTCTCTTCCCAGCAACTGGGTTTGCAGCACCTGCCTAGCGTCACAAGGTCGTCATTTTCTGAGCTGGGTCTAGGGTCCCAGAGACGATAGGCTCTGCCCTCCCAGACCTACGGGACCCTCCACAGGCCTGGCGCCCCCCAGGCGGAGTGTCCAGCACACCCAGGAAGTGCCACAAAGGAGGGGTACTTGGGACCCCGCACGTGGAGGCGTCCATGGAAACGGCTGAGAAGGAGCCAGGCTGACAGCCGTTCAGCTACTGGGGTTGCGGCCTGTGGGGCCCAGCTCGGTCTCCAGAGGGCACTCTCTGAAAGCACGGGGTCCCCACTAGGAGCAGGAGGGGCCCAAGAAGGCTTTTCTCACAAAAGGCCACTAGCGCTGGGCCCAGGACGGGGTGGCCATGAGCGTGGACCAAAAGTCCGTAGGCAGCCCTACTACGCTGGGCAGGGGCAGCCTGGGAGGTTAAGCTCAGGGAGGCAGGGGGTCCAGTTCCCCTTTTTCAAACTCCACTGTCTCTTAACATGACAGGCAAGGCCGCCCCTCCTCCCCTCCAGCACAAAGGTCACACAGGTGTCAGTAAGGCAGGAAGGTAACTGGCCAGGCTGCTCACGGGTTCCCCGGGGGCCAGGCCTTTCTCCGCCCCACATGGGCCAGCGCATCCCCACCCAGCCTGGACCAGCACCGCCACCTGGCCTCTTGGTCAGGAGTGGCCAGCAGGTGGCCCCCGAGAGACGTCTCCAGCCAGGTTGGCCAGGGAGAGTCACTGCACCTCCTGTTCAGCCCAGGGAGTCGAGGGCACACCCGGGGGGAGGGGGCAGACAGTGGCGGAAGGACCCCGAGGGGCCGTGCCCAGTGAGCGCGTCCTCACTGCTGGGCGGCCCCACTCACCAGGCCCCACCAGAGCGCATCTGCATAGGTGTCGAAGTGGTCATTCTCCCCCTTCTCTGCCAAGTACACCAGAAACGAGGCCAGGATGAGGCAGAGGAAGCCGATGTACCAGGCGGTGACCAGCTCCTGGAAGAGACGGCCACGTCATAGCCGCTGGGCCAGCGTCCAGCCCTGTCTGCCCCTGGAGCACTGAGGCCCCGCCTGCCTGGAGGCCTGCTGGGCTCCGCGACGCCAGGGCTTCAGGGGGTGGACGCCCTTCCAGAGTGCCAGCCACAGAGCCCCCAGCACCCCAGGGCCGGGGCGGGCAAGAAGGGCAGCTGGTTTCCAGTCCTGGCCCTGGGTTGTCCAGCCTCTGTGCATCTCACACCTGGGAGGGCAGCGGGGAAGGACGGCCCAGCGCCGCATCCACCCGGGTTAGGTGTGTGGTCAGGTGGCCTCCAGGCAGTCAGGCTGGAGAACCTCGGGACTGTGGGGACCCTATCCCAATTTCCCCGAGCCTGGGGGAGACACCTCAGTACCTTTGGGGACTAACACCCTCTCTGCTCTGCCAACCAAGCCCTAGCCTCAGGGTTCAGACAAGTAGGACAGTGGGGAGGGGGTTGCTGGGCCAGTGAGGGCACCCAGGAGCAGGTGGCCTCGGCACAGCCTGGCATGGCAGACGGGGCTCCTTGCAACACAGAGACGTAATCTGGATGGGACATGGGCCTGCAGCCACCTCGTGGGTCCCCAGCCAGTGGCCAACGCAAGCTGCAGCCTAAACAGGCAGGTAACTGGGAATGCCAATCAAGCACATGGCGAGCCAGCTCCCATGGGGCCAAGTGGACCAGGCCTGGCAGAGAAGCCGGGGAGACCGTGGTGGAGTCAGGGGAAGATGCCTGGAGGAAACAGAACCTCCCGCCCCGCCCGGCAGGGCCTGCCGCCCTCGGCGCAGCACTGGCTCTCACCTTGCTGTGGGCGTAGACCACGGAGCCCAGGAGCTTCCAGGTGCCGCCACGCCGGTCCATGCGGATCATCCTCAGGATCTGCAGGAACCGCAGGCTCCGGAGCGCGGACGTGGCGAAGACGTTGCCCTGGGAGCCGGCGGCCAGCACCGCGATGGAGGCAACGAGCACCATGATGTCTGCGGGAGACAGCGAGCGCAGGGTGAGCCCGGCTCCGGGAAGGTGGACAGAGGGGCGCACATGAAGTGCCAGCCTGGGCACAGCTGCCCGGCACCTTGGCTCCCTGCACTTCGGCCACGCTAACCACGGGCTCAACGCCCAGAGAGCAGGCTTCCACGAGAAGTTGGTCACGGGGTCCCACCTGCCCCTCGCCCCTAGAGCCAACACGACACCCAGGTCCTTCCCAAAGCCAGGGTCCAGCCCGGCCCCCCACCCCCACCGGGCCTCACCGATCACACAGAAGGGCTTCCGGGCAAACTTGAGCCGCCCCCTCCAGCCGCGGTACCGGCAGCAACAGCCTGCAGCCCAGATCCGCACAAAGTACTCCACACCAAACACCACAATGGTCACAATTTCCTGCAGGGGGAAGCCAAAGCTGAGACACCGCCAGTGTGCGTGTGGGGGCCCCTGTCCTGTGTGTCTGGTGTGTAGGTGGGGCACAGAGGGCGAAGCTGATAGAGGGTTTCAGGTAACTGCCGAGTGGTGGGGCCCCCAGGCCTGGGGTAGCCCAGAACAAAGGGCAGGGCAGGTGGGGGGGGAGGCCCCCCAGAGGTGCCCCTGGAAGCAGGCTCAGCCTCCCTGCGGGCTGGCCCCTCCATCGCCAATAGCAACACCAAGGTTACCCTGTGGTTGCCATGGCGCCCGCCCCTACCCATCATGGGGCTGCTATGAGCGTAGCAACCCCCAGCCCAAACCCACATCTGCTGGGGAACACCCCGCCCCCTGAGGTGGAGAACGGGAGGTGGGAAAGGCGGTGAGGACGGCGGGGCGGGGTAGGGGTGCTGTCAGTGCTGTGACGACACGGGGAGGGGCCGGGACCAAGCTGGAGCAGGACCAGGTGCTGCGGGGGCTGGGGAGAGGGGCGGGGGGGCTGCCAACCTGCGCCAGCACCAATGTCAGGACGGGAGCGGGGGACCGAGGGCCACCAGGCTGGAGCCAGAAGAGCAGGGCCCCGGCTGCAGGGAGGACGGTCTGGGGATGAGAGCAGCAGGGGAGGGGGACAGGCTGTGCCCCCCCGGGGACCCACCAGGATGTAGAGCGCGCCCTCCGAGCTCTTCTCGTACTCCTTGATGGTGGAGAACACGGACAGCACGAGGCAGGAGAAGACCAGCAGGAACCTGGGGGGCGGGGGGCGGGGGTCAGCCAGGCCGGGCCCAGAGCCGGGAGAGCCCCCGGCAGAGCAGAGGGGGACACCCGGCAGCTGCCCGGGCCCACAGCGGCCACCTGGGCCTCGGCTGCCCACCGGGAAGCCCACCACGCTCCCCTCTGTCCCTCGTCTGTCTGGCTGCAGCCCTGAAGACACGTGCTTCGGGAGAGTCCACAGAGCTCTCAGAGAAAACGGGGAGCACCGCCTGCCGGGCTGCCCTGGAAACAAGAAAGGCGCAGACCCCACAGCCCGCCCCTGCAGAAAGCACCCATACAGGGCCATCCCTCTCCTCGCCCACAACCGGCTCCTCCCCAGGCTCAGGAGCAGTTAACACCAGCTTCACACACACCCATCCCAGACGCCCAGATTGCGTCCGCAGTTCCCGACTGATGGAACTGAGAGCCGCTGGGCAGCAGGAGTGGACTCCGAGGCCCTGTCCAGTGTGTCCCACCAAAGTGGACAAAGTGAAGCTAGGGAACAGAGCCCCTGAAGGCTGAGAACGGGGTCCAGGGCTCCTGAGAGGCACAGAGTACGTGGTGTGAAACACTGGACAGGGGCCTGCACACCACGCCCCTCCCACATCTTCACCGCCCAGGACTCCCTCATCACCCCAGCTCCACCGGCCCGAGGAGGCAAGACCACCAGCCTCCCTGGTGGAGACGGGGGATGAGACCCTTCAGAGCCACACGGCACAGGCCAACCCCGGGGCAGCCACAGCGACACGGGCTCGGGCCAGCCCCGCCCTGTCCAGATGGGCATCCTGCCGGCACCACCGAGCGGGGGCCCGACACCGAGAACACCGAGCCTGGGAGGATCCAGGCACCTCCAGCAGCCCTGCCCACATGCCCTGAAGAGGCCTGGCGAGCAGGCCCAGAGAGTGCCGCCCCCACTGGGCCAACCTGGTGCCTCCCCGCCTCCCAGCACGCCCCCAGCTCCCAGGCAGAGGCGCTGGTAGCGGATAACAAGGGCCACTGGAGCAGGCGGATGCACGCGGGGAAACGGTCACATTTCAAAGTCGCAATTAATTTCCTTTGCTCATTAGCCAATTTATCCAATTAGCTGAGTCCTGGGAAAAAAAGTCCAGATATCTCGTGTGCCTCATGCTCGTAATTCTCTGCCTGGGGGTATCTTCTCCCAGCTCTTGGTGGGAAGGAGCCCACGTGCCCAGAGGGGCCTGCCAGGGTTGGAGGAGACCCTGGGTTGTGGGTCAGGATTCCGGAGGCCTGGGCGGTGGGAGAGACTGACAGGATTGCCCACTCAGAGGGGCAGCTGGACCCGGCTCAGCTCAGCACTGTGATGCAGGAGCCCGGGGGGACACATAACCCAGCAGGCTTCCCTGCGGAGGTGCACACAGCACCGCAGGGTGAAGAGCTGGTGGGCATCAGGGGAGAAGGGAAGGGAGCTCCTGGCAGAGCGAAGAGCAAGGCGGGTGGCTGGGCGTGGAGGTGGACAGTGTGTCCAGGACCCTGTCGGGGAGACTCAGAGTCCAGGGCTGTGCCCATGAAGGCCAGCACCTCGTGTGGTATAAAATCACTTCCCTAAAGTCAAACAGACAAGGCCCAGGTCCCGAGGTGACCAGACCCTCTCTCAGCCCTGCTTCCCGAGGGCGGCTCTGACCAGCATCTCGGAACATTCCAGAATGACTCACCCACGCTGTATGGAAGCGCAGCCCTTCCCAGCAGGCAGTGGCCAGGATGCCGGGCACCAGGCCAGCAATTCAGGAGACAAACCCACAGCTGCAGCCGGAAGGTCCCATGGCCAGGGGGAGGAGGGCTGGCTCCCGAGAAGCGGGCCTGGGAGACGGCCCCCTCCCAAAAGTGCCGGCGACACTCCAAGATTTGTTTCTGCTGTTTGGGGACAGATGGCCACAGATGGCACGTCCTGGTGGTGTGCAGCGGTGGCAGCAGGTCAGACACTCGGGAAGAGGCCACCCGCCCACTCGGACATGAGGAGGAAACAGCCAGGCAGCTGCGCGCGTCCCTGTCACCCTATCACGTCCCAGAGCAGAGACAGTCCCACGGGCGCCCGCATCCCCACCCACACCTCTAGGACCCTGCAGGTCAAGAGAGGAACACCTCCAGAGCATGGTGACTTCCCGCCACCCCTCAGCCACTCTTCCAGGCAGCTGAATGACGGGAAAACCTTTCCAGACCTCCTCCTGTCGCAGGCACCACAGTGACCAGCGCCCAGCCACCTCCTGGACCTGAGACCTCCGGTGCTCACACCCATTTAGAGACGGGGCAGCTGAGGCTACGAGAGGCCGGTAGGGGCTCTGCCTCTGGCCTCACAGTCCCTAGACTCAGCATCTTCGGTCATAGGGACAATTCACTGGGGCCCAGCCCCGCTGGCTCAGACCCCAGCATCGCCCTCCCACGGGACAGCAAGGGTGACCACCCACAGCTCCACAGCCCATCAAGTGGTCACCTGCTGGAGTTATGTCGGGGTCCTGGCTCCGCCGCTTCCAGGAGACACTGGGGAGTCTGAGCCAGGCAGGGGCCTCCCTGCCCAAAGGCGACCGGTCATTCTGGGTCCTGGCTGATGGCAGGCTCAGGAGAGATGGACCAGAACCCCCTCGGGAGAGGAGCTGGGCAGATGCACAGGGGACACCACTGACACCACCGGGGGGTGCTGCGTGCTGACCCACAGGCCCCAGAAAATGGGGGGGCTGGTAGCTGGGTCTGCTTCCCCCCCAGGATAGCTAGCTGAGGCGCTTCACCCGCCCGCAGGCTGGGGGTCCCACCCCTCAGCTGCAAGGTAGGGGCTCGCCTCTGGCCTCAAGCCCAGCACCACCTGAGCGTCCCCCCAACATCCAGACCGAGGCCTCGGGGCCCTACGGGAAGGGTTCCCAGGCCTTCCAACCCAGGAACTCTCCAGGCTGTTTC